GGAAGAAAAGGGAGATTAGAAACAATGCACCTTCATGCAGGTCAATTAAATACATGAAATAGAACACAAAGTATATGCCACATTGTGCTATTGATTGTATCCAGGGAGCCATGTGTTCTTTTTTCTTTTACAATGTAAGAATGAGATCCTAGATTGAGTAAGGAAATGATGCATGAAAAACATTTTGTTTAACTTCAGTTAGGAATTCATTATGCAAAAACCTGAAAGATTGACCAAGTGATTGTTATCTTTAAAATATGAGATGTAAATAACAAGACTCTATTTTTACAACCATCAGATACAGCCACAGCCCATTATAGAACTTTTAAAAGGAGAATATTTTTTCAGTGCCAACCCTAAAGCAAATGGCTGCAGCTTCCAGCTGTTTGAACAGATTGTGAAAGTGCTGTTCTGCTCTGCGAACACACTTTCTGATCCAATTAAAATGCAGGAATCAAATACTCATTTGAAACTTTAAAAAAACAAACAAACAAAAAAACTCCAGAAGAGTAATTGGTTGCTGCCAAAAAGAATAACATGAATATTTCATATATAGTCTTTTGCTCCATTTTAAAGCTGCTTCATTCATTTTCATTAACAGTGAAACACTTCTTTTCATCTACTTTCAATGAGGCACCATGTATCATCTCAGCTCCTATTAGAATGTGGAGGTCAAGGATAGGTATGAATACATACTTATCAAGCTATTGTCTTCACACTGGAAAATATTTGTAACATGGTACACTATTTCATGTGTGACTGTAAGAGTGACACCAAAGTCACATATAGCATCATCCATACTACTTTTACATCTTACTGTATATATCATAAATATTTCAGCTAACCCGAAATATATTTAAATTTAGGAACTAGAAATTCACTTAACTAAAATGAATTTCAGCCTTTACTGCTAAACATTCTGAGTAGGTCTTAATAGAAAATTTCAGCAAGTTACACAAACTAGCAAACTAAAAATAATAATAATAATAAATCATTTATAAATGTATATATCCACATAAGGACTGAGGTATGCAACAGGTAACAACAATCTCACCTGTGTTTCTTGGGCAATCTGGTCAACATTAGTCAGCAAAGCATCTGGGAATAAAATTTTAAATGTCAAGAACAATTCATTTTTAAAGAAACAGACCCTACAATATTTCTAACTGAATTCTTGATAAGTTTCCTTTTTACAGAGATTTAGCTAAGCTTTTTTTTTTTTTTAACTTACTAAGTCTTGGATTAATTTTGCAGTTGCTTTTCATGATACTTGACAGTTCTCTATGGACTGACACATAATATTAAAATGCAGAATTAAAAATACTGTTCTAATAACAAAAATGAGTAATTATCAATACACAATGTGCTTTTGGTTTAAGAGTTCCATAAGAGAATCAGGCTTCTATTCATTTTTCCTCCTTAAAGTTAACATTTGAAGTACAGAGTTACATAAAATTAGCATGTAAAAATAGATCAAGGAAAAAATAACCTGAATCAGGAAATATAATTCATCATATTCAATATACAGAGTATAAATCAATCAATCATTTTTATAGTATTAAGCATCATTCAATTCCTCCCGAATTATCTCATGCTATAGCAAATGCCAGATTGTACTTCTGTAAAATAGTATAATACTGAGAACAGTCTGCCTTTGAAGTCCATATGTATGCTCTAATGTGCACAAATGTTTAACACCTTTACATAACCCTGCAGAGCACACATTCTATTTCTTTCCATAACATTCTGTTTTCCAAGACTGAGTCTATGAAAAGAAAAAACTAGGTGCCTAAGGAAAAAGTTTTTAGAGTTCACATATGAGTCTGGCAGTAATAGGATAAAAACTTGATTCTAAAATTATTTTAGTAAAATATATCTACAAAACAACTGAAATCAAGGATCAAGTTATTGTGACCTCAAGTTTTCTGACTTTGGTAATGACTGGAAAATAAATTGGCCAAAGTATGGGTGTCACTATATCTAATTTAAATCATTGTACTTAATTTTCTTATGCATTCATTTATTTGTAGACCAAAAATAAGTAATATGCATCAAACCAAAATTTGTTCCTTCTTAAAATTTTGAAGCAGTTTTAGATATTTCATTATTCTTTCATGACACTCAGATATTACACATACTTTTAAAGAAAACTACTGTAAGAGTAGTTCAATATTTTCAAATCAGAGGACAATCATCCAAAAGGAATACAAGTTAATACAGGAATATATACAAATATAAAAATGTATGAAGTAAATATCTGTTAAAATATGCTAAATAACAAGCATAGTATTGTCTGTTGGTTGGTTTGCATATTGAACAGGCTGAAAACATAATGTAAAATGGCTGAAAAGGAAGGAAAAGTAAGTAAGAACAAGGAAATAAAAACAATATATACTCTGCATAGCAATGAAAAACTGCAAACCATATGCTTCAGGTAACAAATATATCTGGTTCAAAGAGGAATATAAGAAATGACAGAAAGAAAAACAGCAAGAAAGGGATGGAGAATCTCTGACTCATAGTGCTATAATCTCCAGATCACAAAACCCCGTTTGTGCTAATTATCAAAATTTATATTAGCGAACTCTCTTCCTTGCCCCTATTCATTCAATCATTTATTGATTTACTCATTCATTCATCTGAGCAACTCAATTGCTGTTGAGTTGATTCTGACTCATTATAATCCTACCTCCCACATATGTTTTCTTCAGTCACTTCATGCTGAACCTGCCCTAGGCAAAATTTCTTCATATATTATTTAAGAAAAAATTTGATCTGCTTGATAAGGCAATCTTTTGTTGAGCTCTCAAAATTAAGTATTTTTGAAAGACAGCAACCAAGGCTAGAATTTCACTTTCTACACACCTCAGAACAAATGTTCAAGAATTTGGGTACATGTTTTATTAAAAGTAATTTAAAAATTTAAGTTGTTTTTGATGACTTTAGTCAAATAATCTATTTCACATGATCAAATATCATACAGTTTAAATATTTTTGAGAAATAAAAGCTATTTAAATACATAAAGTTTCATTAGAAACAGAGCAGGAAGTTGATTTAATAAATCCAAGAAGTTGGCTTATAGTAGATATACTAAGATGAGTTTATTTTGCATGATTTCAGGCCCCAGTCATCCTTGATCATAACCTTGTACATTGCCAGAAATTCTTTCTTTAGAGATTCATTTCCTTAAGTCTTGAAAGCCTTTGTATACTCAGCATTTTTAGTGCTATGCTGTTAAAAAACTAGGAAAGGGAAAAGTAAGCTTTAGTGAATTAGCACCTTCTGAGAAATTATATAATTGATGCTAAGTAAAAGTATTTAGTTGGGGCTAGAGCATTATTATGGTAACATTTTTGAAAATACTCACACTTCATTTTGAGTCATAGTTTTAATTTTACGAAGTATGGCCACTCATGTGCTCTCATTTATTCCTCACAAGAGGAACCATATAACTGAACATTGAATAGGTGCCAAGACTTTGAAAAGGTGAAGGGCACACTTTTCAGAAAGGGAAAAAGAGCAGAAGGATTTAGGAAATGTCCACAATAACATGACCTTCTTGGATAATTTTTTCCAATGCTGGCACTGAAATTAATCTGTACTTGCTGCAACCTTACTCACTTTGAATAACATCATGGTAAATCATGTATAGTACAATACGCATCTTTCAAGTTAACGTTAACCAAAACTTGTATATGTCTTTTCCAGGAGGAAATTAATGATACAGATATCCCTCACCTGTGCCTTAAATGCCATTCAAGAGATATGAAAAAGCTAGTAACCTTTTTTGTGTTTTTAATTTACTCCTTTGAAACATTTTTACATACAAAGTTCCTATCTCATGATATTTTGGCTATAATTTCATGTTCTTTTGCATAGGAATTGGGTCTAAGTTACCACATGAGCCTTATTCACAAAAAGCAATAACTTCATGTTAACTTTGTTTGCTAGTCTTTAGTAAAATACCATCAAGTGGACATATGATGTTGTAAATTTTCAACAACAGTAACATTTATCTACAGTCCTTCATTTAAATGAATTTCCAGGAATGGCATATTGTCAAGCAACAATAGTATTTTCTGACTAAAATCAAAATACCTTTTTAATGATGTATTACCATTAAGCTGCATGGTTCCTAATTAAATTGCATCACAGCTTTCAGTTAAAGCAATAAGTACATTTATTCTAAGAGAGAAACATTCAAATGTAGAATTACAGCACAGAAGGGAAAAACTAAGCTACTATCTAGTTAATGAGCAATGACTTTATATTGCCTATAAACGTAATTTGAACTCCATTAGAAGTTTTCTTTTATTTTACTTGTTGATAAAAATAAGTATTCCTTTGATAAAGGAGGTCTTATCTTTTTGTCTCCCACTTTAAATTGTGTTAAGAAAAATATAAACTCACTCATTCAGCAAATATATATTGAATGAATAAAAACACTCTCATATGGCCATATGTATATGACATTGGGGTCTGTGACTTAAAACTGTACTAAATATTTTGATAGACACAAACAAATTGCATTCTCTTCCCCTCCCCACCTAAAAGCTGTGTCAAGAATGAGGAATACAGAACCATTAAGGCACCTAAACCAATAATCCTGTTTAGAAGGATATTTATGTTAACACTGTCTGGGTACTTACTGAATGTTTTATTTCACAAAACATAACAACACAAAGTTGTTCTCTACAACATTTGCTTAAAACAAAGGCAACATCATTGGCATTGAAAGAACATATACAGTCTCCTCATTGAAAACTACCAGTTATCCATAGCTAATCCTTCATAAGATTGAAGGAAAAAAAATTATGCAAAACTTTTTTTTTTCCCCTATGGCAAATTTCATTCATAAACTGCTATTGCAGAAGTTGGAAGCTAGTCCTAGAATAGGGAAAGGCACTACTGCTGTGTCATGCTTTTTTTCCCTTGACCTTTTATCTTTGTATGTTACCTTTATTCATATATATACATATATATGTATATATATATGGAAAAACTCACCATACACACACAGAGAGACATACACACACACACTGTAGTTTAGAAGGTTTATATACAACCCTGGCTATAGAAGCCATGTATCAGACAGACAAGACTGGAATTCCAAACTCTAATTTCCTATGTGAGTTTTCAAAATGAGTTTTTTCATTTAAAAAAAATTACACAGTGCTTTCCAATATCCACTCAGATTTTGAAAGAGTTGCTTTTCCACTATGCCCATCACAATTGTTGGACTGAATTAACATCCCATTCATAGATATGTTTCTTTTAGAAAACAGTTCACACAAGTTCGGTGAGTTAATATAACAATAGTATTCCTTTAATTCTCCATTCAGGGAGTACCTGTGCCTTGCTCTGGATCTCTCAGCAGGCAAAGTGAAAAACTTACTTGGCTTTGAATGTGCTCTTTTGGATGTGGGTCCCTCTGTGACAGAATCGGGAAGTCGACTGGCTAACTGCAATGCAGTTGAGTTGTTCCTGTTAGTGTTTTGGGACTCAATGTTTGTGACAGCTTCATTCTGTGGTTCGGTACTTGGCTTTGTGCCAGTCTTTCTTTTCTGCTTTTGGAACACAGAAGTGCTTGAAGTCCAGGTAGGAGGCAAAGCAGAGGTAGTGGTAGAGGAGTCCTGACTTGAACAAGTTTCTGAAGGCTGGATCACATTGTCATTGGTACCTTTACAACACTGGACATTTTCTTCATGTCCCATAGCTTGTTTGGACATGGACTGGGGCACGGTTACACTGCAGCCTTGCATTTGGGCCCCATTAGTTTGAGAATAAACATTGCTGACCTTGGTGGCCTTGTGTTGCCCGTTATTGTTACAAACTTTATACCGGATCATCAGAATGATGATGAAAACCAGCACAGATGCTACAATGATTCCACCAATAATAATAATCATAGTGCCTCCCAAAAACTGGGACTGCATGAAGTGGCAACGCACATAATCCTGTTCTGTAGTAAACTGGATACAACCCACGACTCTTGTGGCAGTGAGGGAAGTGATGCCATCATCATATATTGCCAAGACACACAAGTCATACATAGTTCCAGCAGCCAGGTTATTGACAAGAAAAGTTTTGCTTGTAGGAGGTATCATTCTGAGGGACAATGGAATTTGTGTTAATATGTAAACCAAAACAAAACAAAAAATACACATACAGTCATTAAGACTTCAGTTCTGTCTCATTTCAGTACTTATTAAGATAAGCACATTATAATAGATATGAAATATGGTGACATGATCTAATCTTATATTTACCCACATAAAATGATGAAAAATCATTGTAGGAGTTTGCATTATATTGATGGTGCTGCACTGTGCCTTGACAAGCCTTCTAATTGCATTGCTTGGCAAAGCAGAGCTCCTAATAAAAGCCACTGCAGAAAAATCATTTATGACAAATTGCTTTTGAAAGGTGTGACTGTGACATTATCTGACTACTAAACAAATCCATTTAGCACTTACAACACCTCAGTGACTAAAAGCCAATTTGGAGAAAGGGAAAATACTGATAATCACATTAGAAACTAGAATGGAAAATGCATTTCCCAGCACATATTTCCCAAATCCGTTATAAGAGGATGGGTGCCCACTAAATCTGTCTTTAACAACAAAGATATTCACTAAGATTAAAGAAAGCACTTTATTTACAGATCTCATGTCTCTCCTATGCCTTCAACACTTGGTTCCCAATATGTTTTTATCTATAAAGGAAGAGTATGAAAATGTATAAGTAACATTATTCAGGAAGAATGAACCAGCCAAGGCTGTGAGCACACCATATACCCCTCGTGCTCATTGTAGGCTGATGAAAATTTCTTTTGGAGTACAGTTTCAAAAGTTTGATCAAAGTTGGTAGGCATCTCTGAATCCATTATATCCTAGGATTTTTTTTTTCAATGTCTATTTTCCAATAATTCTTTTTTCATTCTGAGTAGCAGTCAAATAAGATTGGGGGGGGGGGGAGGTTTGAAGTTTTTTTTTTTTTTCCCCTGAAAGTGAGATCTAGGAGTTTCAAAACATGGCAATGCTAATCTGTTATAGAACCAAAGAATGGATTTTAAATGTACCAGAAAACTTTAAGGTCAGAGCAGGAATTTCCTATTCAGATAACTACCTTTTAGTGAGTGCAAGATAATGCTAGGCATTACTAAACACATTACATCTATTATAATTCAGTTTTTATGAGGTCTTTACAAAGTGGACATTATCACTATTTTGCAGATGACAAACCTCTGAGTTAGGAATTCAAGCAATTTGCTCACATCACACATTTACCTGTCATTGCAGTATTCAGATCTTGGAATGTGGAAAACAAAACCTGACCTATTTCACAGAGCTAATGATTAAACCATATAGAATGTCCAGTAGCTATAAGAAAGTAGGGGTAAGAGAAAGTACTTTTTATGGGTAACCAGTTAAAAAGCCCATAGCACAGGTGACAAAAAGAGCTGGGTATGACAGAAGCAAATGTCATTTTGCTAATATGCAAGCATCAGGGTCTTTCTTCCTATATTTTTGGTAGTGAAAGCGGTATTAGATACATTTAGTCTAATCTTTTCCTTATAAAGATGAAGAAAGTGAAACACAGCCAGATAGAACTTTGCCCAAGATTGATGACATAGCTGGCTAGTACAATTTTGTTTTCTCCCTACCAGCACATGCTTATTTTTAAAACTTACTCTCTTTTCCCTACATGAGGAAAAATCAAATTATCTTCAAGTATTTACCTGGGTATATAAGAACTGAACTGATCTGATTTGTGAAAAGCTTAAAGGCAAAATGAAATTATTTTCAATCCATGACTTTTGCATCATTTTCTATGGATAATAATATTCCTTCATGAGTGAAATTATAAGGAAGGGAAAAATATATTTCCAACTCAAACTTAGACAAGATGTGACTATAAATCAATGAGGCTGAACTTTAGAAAAACATACCAGAAATTCTTTATTCAGATGCAAATTTCTCATCAATGTCCTTATCTGGAGATTATGTATATACTCAACTCCAGTGATACTTTCAGTGCTCAAAATATATATAAACTTTCTCTTTGGAACTGCCTTAAGAACCAGTGCACATGAGACAACACACACGCACGTCACTCAATCGCTCAGAAAATCAGTCTCATTACTTTATAATTACATGCTAGTTTTGACCAAAAATGGCAATGCCCATCTTGATCACCCACCTTATTCACAAGACTTGTCTCCAAATGGCTTTTGGCTGTTTCCAATATTCAAATTCACCCTCAAAAGACGAAGATTTGCCACCACTGAGGATATTCAAAATAGTGTGACGAAGGTTCTAAAGATAATTCCAAAAGTGCTTTGAGCAATGTCAGCATCATTGGGATACTGGAATAGCCTCCCAACATGACTTCCTTGAAGGAAAGAACTCTCATTTGGATGTGTAAGTTCTGGTATGTTTTTGAATTTTTAAATGTATCACTCTTGCTCTCTGATAGTCACATCTCTTAGATGAGGGGAAGAAAAGTAAGCATGACATTAAATATAAATCTGACATCTAAAAATAACACCACTCAAAATATTTTCCCACATGTATTCACCATTCACAAGCTTTACATTATACATTTTTTTAAGCAATAAGTACTGTAATTACAATACAGAGTAGCACTATTAATTATGGGAAAAAAAATCAGTAGCACATTCCCATATGCTAAAATGCATGGTAAATATATCATTGTGCTTAATATTGCTTACCTGTAAACAAGAGTGTCATCATAAGTACCATTGTACTGGATTTGAAACATACGTATTCCAGGGATATTTCTTTGAAAATTAAATTTAAGTAGTGCTGTAGATGATGTTGCTTCTGCCACCACGATTTTATCTTGACTCATTTTAGTATCACCATTACTACTGCTTGTGTTAGAACCTGACTTAGTAGAAGTTGAGATATCTGAAGAACCAGGATCTGGTTCATGGATATGGTTTGTACTGTTTAATAAGTGAGGAAGTTTAATTATGTGAAGATCCATTGTTTGTGTTGCTTCCCCAGCAGGATTGGAAGCAATGCAGGTAAAAGCACCTGTATCCTTTACAGTTGTTATAAGAATGTCAAGTGTTCCATTATCATACACCAGAGATCTAGTTGCATTTGAAATCAGCTTCCCTTCAGGAGAAATCCAGTGAATAGCAGGTTCAGGATCTCCTCTGGCTTTGCACCTCAGTGTTGCCCTTTGACCTTCCAGAACTCTCATCTCATGTGTATGGCGAGTAATGAGAGGAGGCTCACACAAAAACTCTTCTTCAGGAATTGACCAAAAATAGCGACCAGTTAAAAGTGCAGGAGAAGCACAGGTCTCTAGGTCATCTTCTCGTGACAAACGTCTCAACCACAACAATTCACAATTGCAATGCAGAGGGTTTCCACCAAAGCTTAATGCAAAAGTAGACGGGCTTATTATTCCTGAGGTTGCTAGTACCTGAGCTCTCTGAAAGAGAGGATCAGGTGGTAGCTTCTGCAATTTATTTGATGTTACATCTAGCCGAGTCATCTTATGCAAGTGAGAGAAAGTCCCCTTAGGAATATTATCAATCATATTGTGATCCAAACTAAGAGTGTGCAAGCTAACCATCTTCTCAACAGCATCCCAAGGAATTGTTTCTAGATTATTATAGGACAGATCCAGTTCCTCTAGGGCAAAGACATCATCAAATGCTGTAGAAGAAATTAAAGTCAGCTGATTGTTGTTCAGTATCAAATGATGGAGATTGGAAAGCCCACTGAACATATCATTTGTAATTTTAGTCAATCTGTTGCTATTCAAATGCAAAGCCCTCAAATTTCGTAAGTCAGCAAAAGCATGAGGTGTAATAAAACTTATTGTATTCCTGGACAGAGTCAGGTCCACCAAGCTGGTCATATTGGCAAAATCTTTTCTTTTAATATTTGTAACAAAATTGTCTGCCAATCGCAGTTCTACAGTTCTTCTGTCAATGTTTGGTGGAACAAATAAAAGCCCTTTCTTGGCACAAAGAGTTGCAAGATTAGGAGACAAAATCTGACAGACACAACGCTTTGGACAGATCTGAGCTTTCACTGCTATGCCAATGAAAAACAGATAAAAAAGAAATTTTTCCATTGTAGATCAGATTTAAGAGCCTGTAAGAAAAGACACAGACAAAATGGTATTAGCATCCAATAATTTGATTAATGTTCATATTCCTATTAGAATATCTTTCATAGAAATTAGAATACAGAAGCAATTTATTCATTTATTTATTAACAATGAAGTATTAATTAACTACTCCTTACTAGAGAATTCAATGGACACTAGAGATGAATAATATATCATTCATAGTTTCATGAGAATTAAAATCAAATAGAGAAAACAAAGAAGTAGAAATTATTATAATTCTGTAAATTAAATGCCACTTTTGAAGTTTGTCTCTACTCTGTGTTTGTACAAAAACAAGGCATCAAGCCTAGATCGGAGGGCTGGATGCTCAGGAAAACCTCCCCTAAACTCTGAAGGGCATCTTGCTGGACACGTAAGTCCAATAGCTTAAAGACGTTTTTAAGGACTTATAACCAGTTGAATTAACTAGTCTAAATAGAAACAATAAGGGACAACATTTGTCATCAGTGTAATCTTGAGGCAACAGTTGAAGGTAACTAGATATTGATTAATTATTATTTATCTTTACAGACTTTCTCAGTATATCATAACTTTAACACCCTAATGGCAAATGCAAGATGTTACCCTTAAGATAAAATCCTTATCTTCTCTTATCTTATAGTAAGGCTGAAAATTAACTGTAAATCCTGAGCACCATAAACATTAGAATAGTTACATTAGATATAAATGTATCTTTTTGAAGATAATTTATATAAATTAGTTATGACAATATTTTATAGTGGCTCCACAAAATTATTATTTTCCATTTATCTTCTCTTAATAATTTAGAGGGTCAGCAAAGAAGAGGAAGACCATCAAAGAGATGGATTCACATAATGACTGCAACAATGGGACCAAGTATAGCAAAAATTGTGAAGATAGTACAAGACAGGGCAATTTTGTTCTATTCTACAAGGGTTGCTATGAGGTGGAACTGACTTGACAGCACCTAACAACATCAACAATAATTTAATGCATTTGCATTTTATCCAAACTCAATTTTTAAATAGTCATAAACACTTTGATAAGTTTATTTTTCATTTAGATTTTAGATATTGTTTATATGTGATCA